TTTTAGTAGAGACAAGTTTTCACCATGTTGGCCAGGCTGGTCTTGAACTCCTGACCTCAATTGATCCACCTGCCTCAGCCTCCCAAAGTGCCGAGATTATAGGCATGAGCCACTGTGCCCAGCCTAAGTGACGTGATCTTGGCTCACTGCAACTTCCTCCTTACAGACTCAAGTGATCCTTTCACCTCTGCCTCCCAAGTAGCTGAGACTACAGGCACATGCCACCATGCTCAGCTAATTTTTATGTTTTTATAGAGATGGGGTTTGGCCATGTTCCCCAGGCTGGCATATAACATCTTATAAGTCATTATTTTAAGCTAATGATTACTTAACACTGATTGTAAAAACTAACAAATAAGCAAAGAGAAAGCTAACAAAAACTCTATACCTTAACTTTATTCCCCTGCTTTTTAAGTAGTTTTTTTTTTTTTTTTTTTTTCCCGTCGCCCAGGCTGGAGTACCATGGCACAATCTTGGCCCACTGCAACCTCCGCCTCTTGGGTTCAAGCGATTCTCCTGCCTCAGCCTCCTTAGTAGCTGGGATTACAGGTGTGTGCCACCACATCCAGCTAATTTTTGTATTTTTAGTAGAGATGAGGTTTCACTATGTTGGTCAGGCTGGTCTTGAACTCCTGACCTCAGGTGATCCACCCACCTTGGCCTCCCAAAGTGCTGGGATTACAGGCATGAGGCCAAAAGGAACATTTTATCATGGAAAATTTTAGCCAAATTCTCTTCTCTTAAATGTTTAAAATTTCCATTTAAAGGCAGTAAGTATTGTTAACAACAAAACTTGTTTTTAAAATTCAAACAATTATGAATAGTTCAACAATTAATAAAATGAATATTTAAGTAGTGCTTAAGCTCATTTTTCTGAGAATGAGACAAAATTGAAGCTGGGTAAATATACATTAGTGTGTTTTCTTTATGTAATTCTGAATCTTATGTAAATGAATTTGTAGAATTAATCACTGTGGATGGAATCCTTTTTGCCCTTCCCAAGCGAAGCTCCCATAGGTACAGTTGGGTTGTCCTTCTGGGTTGCTTTAAGGGCACTTTAGCAGTTTTTAAAACTTAAGTACTAATTTCATAGCCAGTGTCAGCTGAATTTATTGAAGTAGGTCAGACTCTGGATAGGAACTTGTTTCCCAACCCTAAAGAGAGTCATTATCCATTCTTCTATTTGTTAGAGTATGGTAGTAAATTCTTCCACATTGACCACAAGTCTAGAGCAATTTCAGAAAATCTAGATAGTTGGATTTCTTCAGGTATAGAAAAATTACTTAAGATTCTGTCTGACTTTTATTATCCCAGTGGACTGAAAACAAAACCAAAACAAATAAAAAGGAAAGTCAATTCCTTTCCACCCTCAAAGAAGCCAGATTCAATGGTTGTAATCTTTAAAATAGAAACATAAATCCCCCTGCCAAAGAATATATATACAAAAATGCAGTTAATTCTTTGGGGAATTCTTTTCTTAAAAAATTTTTTATTATTGTAGGTTATTCTTCTCTCCAGTTTAAGTAAGCTTTTACTATACTATATGCCTATCAGTTTCTCTGTCTATAGGATGAAATAGTATAATCATATGATAAAGTATATGGTAACTGAAAGCATAAGTATTATGAGAAGTCAATAATTAGTGATCAATATGTTTTTAATTTATGAAGGAAGGCTTCATGGAAGATTTAGGATTTCAGATGATTCTTGAAGGTTGGCTATGAGTTGATAGAAGAGATGTATAGATGGCCGGGCGCGGTGGCTCAAGCCTGTAATCCCAGCACTTTGGGAGGCCAAGGCGGGTGGATCACGAGGTCAAGAGATCGAGACCATCCTGGTCAACATGGTGAAACCCCGTCTCTACCAAAAATACAAAAAATTAGCTGGGCATGGTGGCGCGTGCCTGTAATCCCAGCTACTCAGGAGGCTGAGGCAGGAGAATTGCCTGAACCCAGGAGGCGGAGGTTGCGGTGAGCCGAGATCGCGCCATTGCACTCCAGCCTGGGTAACAAGAGCGAAACTCCGTCTCATTAAAAAAAAAAAGAAGAGATGTATAGAATATAGGATAAGCCGTATGAACAGAAACTTTGAATTTCAAAGTGCCAGATAGTAACTTAAAGATGTTTTTGTGTAAAAACTCATATATGGCATCGTGTTAAAGCAGCCTCGGCATAATTAATTGGTCCACCATCACAAATTAATGTTGCAGATTAATAAGTGAAAAGTCAGGGATGCACAAACCCAAGTCTTTTGAACTTAAAAGTCCTTGCTGTATTAACATTCACTGATAATCTATGAGTGTGGCATTGAGAATCTACTAGATGCTATTATATTCTGAGAATATAAAAATTAATAAGACAGTTCTTTATGAGAGATAGAGACACACGCACATGCATGTATACTATGGTTAATTTCTTGTGCAAATCACTCAGTGTATGTATGCTATAGAAAAGTTAATCTGCTTTTCCCATCATTGTCTCATAGTGGGAGTATCTTCTTAGAGATTATAGCATTTAAAGAATATTGGTATAATTCAACAATTAAATACAAACATTTTACTTCATGTAATGTTCTAAAACTGGAGAAAATCTGGATCGGATTTCAATAATATATCGTTCTTCAGTGTGGCACACTTTCCTAATGGATTAATGAATATATTTGACTATATGTGATTTTTACCTTACGTGCCAGTTTAACAAGCTGTGATTATACTGCACCTCTTTGGGTCTTGTCACGATTTTATAGTCAACTGTTAGTTATAATAGTGGGTGGGTGTTTACTCTTTATTAAATGGAGATACCTTTATATCATTTAAAATGATTTAAGAGTAAAACTATTTAATCATGTTATGAGGTATTACAGAACAGCAGCTAAGAGCATGGATTATGAAGCTAGTCTGCCTGGATTCAAATCCAGACTTTGCTACTTAATACCTGAATGGCCATTGGCTTTGTTTTTCCATCTGTAAAGTGGGGATAATGATAGTACCTATTTCATACAGTTGTTGTATTTGGCATATAATAAGTACTATCAAGTATTAGTTATTTTTTTTTTTATTTTTATTTTTATTTTTATTTTTATTTTTTTGAGATGGAGTTTCGCTCTTATTACCCAGGCTGGAGTGCAATGGCGCGATCTCGGCTCACCGCAACCTCCGCCTCCTGGGTTCAAGCAATTCTCCTGCCTCAGCCTCCTGAGTAGCTGGGATTACAGGCAAGCGCCACCATGCCCAGCTAATTTTTTGTATTTTTAGTAGAGACGGGGTTTCACCATGTTGACCAGGATGGTCTCGATCTCTTGACCTCGTGATCCACCCGCCTCGGCCTCCCAAAGTGCTGGGATTACAGGCTTGAGCCACCGCGCCCGGCAAGTATTAGTTATTATAAGTCCATTATCTCTTATTTGCAATTTCGAGATTTAAAAAAAATCAAACCATAAACCCACAGTTTTTATACAACTTATTTGACAGCAAAGCCTTACCTAATTAATGTCTTTGTAAGATATAGTCTGTTTTTTTTTTTTTTTTTTGAGATGGAGTTTCGCTCTTGTTACCCAGGCTGGAGTGCAATGGCGCGATCTCGGCTCACCGCAACCTCCGCCTCCTGGGTTCAGGCAATTCTCCTGCCTCAGCCTCCTGAGTAGCTGGAATTACAGGCACGAGCCACCATGCCCAGCTAATTTTTTGTATTTTTAGTAGAGACGGGGTTTCACCATGTTGACCAGGATGGTCTCGATCTCTCGACCTCGTGATCCACCCGCCTTGGCCTCCCAAAGTGCTGGGATTACAGGCTTGAGCCACTGCGCCCGGCCGATATAGTCTGTTTTTGACCCTATTCTTGACCTTATGTTATTTATATGTAGTTTGTAAAAGTCCTTTGTAATGGCTGGGTGTGGTGGCTCATGCCTTATAATCCCAGCACTTTAGGAGGTGGAGGTGGGCAGATCACTTGATGCCAGGAGTACCAGACCAGCCTAGCCAACATGGTGAAACCCAGTCTCTACTAAAAATATAAAAATTAGCCAGGTGTGGTGGCACATGCCTATAATCCCAGCTGCTTGGGAGGCTGAGGCATGAGAACCGCTTGAACCCCAGAGATGGAGGTTGCAGTAAGCCAAGATTGTGCCACTGTACTACAAACTGGGTGACAGAGCAAGGTGCTGTCTCAAAAAAAAGAAAAAGTCCTTTGTAAAATGCAGATACATGTTATTATTTTAAATACATCTTGAGCAGTATAGTTGACAGCCTTATGAAGTAAAAATAAACTTGGATATAATTATTATTAAGTACAGTCAGCCCTCTGTATCCATGGGTTCTATATCTGTGGATCCAGCGAACCATGGATTGAAACTAATCAGGAAATAAAAAAGGATGATTGTGCCTGTACTGAACATGTGGACTTTTTCTCTTGTCATCATACCCTAAACAATACAGTATAACAACTATTTATGTAGCATTTTACATTGTTATGTATTATAAATAATCTAAAGATGATTTAAAGTGTACAGGAGGATGAGCAGAGGTTATATGCAAATACTGTGCCATTGTATATAAGGGATGATTTTGAGCATCCACAGAGTTTAGTATCTGTGGTAGTGGGAGGTGGGGATCCTGGAAGGAATCCTCCACAGATACTGAGGGATGATTGTAATGTTAACAATAGCTGCTATTTATTGAAAGTTTACTGTGTGCCAGGCACTATGGTGGGCATTTTATATCCATTTTCTTATTTATTCCGGTAGTCCTCAGTAGGGAAGCTGTATTGGTCCTGTTTTTAATGTGCTGAAGTTTAGGGAGATTAAATAATTTGCCCAATGTCACACCAGCAGTGTGCAAGCAGTGCTAAGATTACAGACTTTATTTCTCTGACTTTTTCGGTAACTCCTGTGTTCTTTTTATAACCTACACTGCCTCTATAATTTAGACAGTTTTCGTAAAGAAATAAAAGTCACTGATATGCTAAAGTACATTGTTGTTTTGCTCTTTTTTCCTTTCATCTTAGGTGCTGGAAAACCCCCTATGTTTGGTGATTATGAAGCTCAGAGACACTGGCAGGAAATTACTTTTAATTTACCAGTCAAACAATGGTATGGTAATTTTAACTTGGTTTTCTTGTTTATCATAGTTAATATAGATTGTTTGAAAATATTTAAGAGGACAAACACACTATTTTTTTCATCTTGAACATCCTCATCTCTTGCATACTGATGCCACATATGGATTGTCTTGCATTTTGTAGGCCTGTCTTTGAAACTTGATAGTCCTGAAAGTTAATTCGTATACCTAATTAGGTGGGCTATGATGCTGAACTAGCACCTGGATGATAAAAATCTGAATGTCTATATGTCCTCTGGATATAAACTATGGAAGCATCATCATAGGCTACAAACATTTCTTCCCTGTTTCCTCATTCACTGTTTCTCTTGCTAAAGATCACTGTGATTGTAGCTACAGATAAAAGTAGATGAGAGCTCTGGCAGTAGCTGATGGCTGAATTTGCAGAGCTGAAAAAGGGACCAAAGGGAGAAGCCTACAATAATAGGACTTGTTTTCAACTCTGAAAATTTCACATATATCCTTTTGGTTCACTCTTGAATACCCTGCATCTAGTATAGGGCATGGCACATTGTAGACCCTCAATAAAAATTTATAATAGGAATGAGTATTTAGGTGTTCATTTTCTTTTCTCTCTCTCTTTTTTTTTTATGAGATACAGTCTCACTCTGTCATCCAGGCTGGAGTGCAGTGGCATGATCTCGGCTCACTACAACCTCTGCCATGCGTGTTCATTGTGATTCTCCTGCCTCAGCCTCCCCAGTAGCTGGGATTACAGGCACCTGCCACCACACCTAGCTAATTTTTGTGATTTTTAGTAGAGACAGGGTTTCACCATGTTAGTCAGACTGGTCTTGAACTCCTGACCTTGTGATCCACTTGCCTCAACTTCCCAAAGTGCTGGGATTATAGGTGTGAGCCACCGCACCTGGCCTACGTGTTCGTTTTCATATGGTCTCATTTCTGTAGCCTTCTCTGTATTATGAAGGAGGAGGTCAGCTCTACCCTTCATTGGTTTTATGGTATAGTATATATCGAACCTTCTGTTTCTCAGAACTCAGAAAGCTCCATAGAAATTTTTGTTAATTATTGTTCTCTATTATAATTGAGCAGTGGTGATTAACCTTAATTTTATATACAAGTCTACCTGAAATATAAAGTAGCAGTAGCTTAGTAGTAAAGAGTGTAGGTGCTAGAGTCAGACTGCCTGAGTTCACATCCTGCCTTTACTATTTATTAGCTGTGTGACTTTGGTAAATTATTTAACTTTCTCAACCACTGTTTTATCACTTGTAGAATGAAAGTAATAGACTACATATTTCACTGGATGTGAGGATTGAATAAAATGATCCACGTAAAGCACTTAGGCCAGTGCCTAGCATGTAATGAACTCTCAACAAATGTTAGCTGTGGTTATAGCATCATAGAAATTCATGCTTTTGTCATTTTTATTGAACATATCCTGATAACAGTTGATGCCACTACTTACTGACTTACTAGATGGCTGGTAGGTTATTCGCTTAGAGACTGGCTATATAAACTGTTCATATTATATTGTTGACTGCTTTGGCCACTGCTTTTATATAAGCCCTTTATCAGAGAGTTTTATGCAAGAACTTCATATTGAGCTTCCTATTGATAGGTTGCCTGTTCCCTAGTCAGAGTTTGGACTGTTTCAAATGAAAGAGGAACCTGAAACACTTTAAATGTCTCTTAGTAGGGGAATGATTAAATAAAGTCTATTTCTTTTTTTTTTTCTTTTTTTGAGACAGAGTCTTGCTCTGTTGCCAGGCTGGAGTGCAGTGGCACGACCTCAGCTCACTGCAACCTCAACGTCCTGGGTTCAAGCGATTCTCCTTCCTCAACCTCCTGAGTAGCTGGGACTACAGGCACATGCCACTACGCCCAGCTAACTTTTATATTTTTAGTAGAGATGGGGTTTCACCATGTTGGCCAGGATAGTCCTGATCTCTTGACCTCATGATCCATCTGCCTCGGCCTACCAAAGTGCTGAGATTACAGGCATGAGCCACTGCACCCAGCTATAAAGTCTATTTCTTATGTGCATATTTTTTTCTAGGTAGATACCTAGAAGTGGAAACTCTAGAGTAACACCAGAATATCTCTTTCTACATACCCTGACAAATATTTCATAACATCAGACTTTTTAAATTGGCATTCCCAGGAGCAGTTGTGACCTGAGCATCTTTTATTGTATTTGTTGATAATTATATTTGTTTTCCAAATTGCTTGTTCATTTCTTTCCCTCATATTTGTAATGGATGATCATTTTTGTAATGATTTATATGATTTTAAATAGTTATGCTAATTTTCTATACTGTGTAACAAATGACCCCAAATGCTAATTGCTTAAACAGACATTTATTATCAGTTTCAGGAGTTTGGGCCACAGATCAGTAGTTTGGGCACAGCTTAGCTAGATATTCTGCTCAGAGTCTCTCTCAGTGGCTGTAATCCAGATGTCAGCTGGGATGCAGACTTATCAGAGGCTCAACTAGAGAAGGATCCATTTCCAAGTTTCCTCAGGCTGTTGGCAGAATTAGTTTCCTTGCATCTGCAAGAGTGAAGGCTTCAGTTTCTTGTTGAGAACCACTTTTGGCTCCTAGAACTCACATGCCATTTGTTGCTATGTGGTTTCTTCAACATGGCCATGTACTAAAATATACCAGCTTGCTTCTTTAAAGTCAGTGAGAGGCAGTCTGACTAGTCTATCTGCTAGCAAGACAGAATCTTACGTTTAAGATTAAACAGAAGCACAAGAGTGACATTCTATCACATTTACCATATTGTATTGGTTAGATGCAAGTCATGGGTCTTGCCCACTCTCAAGGGGAGGAGACTGTACACATGCAAGGGTCTGAACACCAGGCAATGGTATTCTCGGTGGTGACCTTAAAGTCTGTCTACCACAACAGTATTGTACACTTTAATCATTTTCCTCACATGTGTGTATAGGTATATAAAATAAGTGTCGGCCAGGCGCGGTGGCTCAAGCCTGTAATCCCAGCACTTTGGGAGGCCGAGGCAGGTGGATCATGAGGTCGAGAGATCGAGACCATCCTGGTCAACAAGGTGAAACCCCGTCTCTACTAAAAATACAAAAAATTAGCTGGGCATGGTGGTGTGTGCCTGTAATCCCAGCTACTCAGGAGGCTGAGGCAGGAGAATTGCTTGAACCCAGGAGGCGGAAGTTGCGGTGAGCCGAGATCGCGCCATTGCACTCCAGCCTGGGTAACAAGAACGAAACTCCGTCTCCAAAAAAAAAAGCGTGTCTTCTTTCTGTTTATTCTTTATTCTTGTCTGAATTTTTTTAATGATATCTGTTGTCTTATAAAACTTTCTACATTTTGATGTATGTACATTCTTTGAACTATTCTTGCAACTTTTTTGTACCTTTGAAACTGTTTCAACCTAAAATTTTTTTTCTTTAAACAAAAATATCAGTGATGACTCTGTGGGTTGTCAGATAAAACTACATCTTAAAGTTAATGGTAATACTCTTGAATGTAATTTTATAATTTGTGTGGCAGCGAGTTTTTTTTTTTTTTTTCCTAACTAAACATCTACTGAGATTACATGGGAATTCAGTGAGAAAATACATTTCAACATATAAATAGTGTTTAGACAACTTTTCAGTTATTAATATATCTAAAGTATGGTATATAAAGCAGGAGTATCAACTAATTGCTTTGTTTCTACTGATAAATTTTGAAGCTTTACTTGAAGCACTTTTTTCTTTTTTCTTTTTTTTGAGATGGAGTCTAACTCTATCACCCAGGCTGGAGTGCAGTGGCACAATCTCAGCTCACTGCAACCTCTGCCGCCCGGCTTCAAGCAATTCTTCTGCCTTAGCCTGCTGAGTAGCTGAGATTATAGGTGCCTGCCGCCATGCCCAGCTAATTTTTGTATTTTTAGTAGAGATGGGGTTTTACCATCTTGGGCAGGCTGATTTTGAACTCCTGACCTCATGATCCACCTGCCTCGGCCTCCCAAAGTGCTGGAATTACAGGCATGAGCCACTGCTCCTGGCTGAAGCACTTCACTTTCTTTCTTTTTTTTTTTTTTTTAAAATCCTCCAGTCTGATCCCACAGGCTCAGTATGCTTTACATGTGTAAAGACTCTATACACATGTAAGACAATGTTGACAAATTAAGAGAGGCATATCTTTTTTTTTTTTTTTTTTTTTTTTTAAGAATAATAAGAAAAAGAATACAGAAGAGGAAGAAAGAGAAAGAGGAAGAGAGAGAGAGAATGGGGGTATTGCTTTGTTGCCCGGGCTAGAATGCAGTCTAAATATGGGTATGCCTATAATTGTCTTTAATAATGGAGACATGAAAGAAAATGAGGGAAGAGAATAACAAACAAGGAGCCAACCAACATTTCGTTTAAACTTCTAAGTTGATATGATGTGGTACTGATAAGAGTGTATATTTTGTGTAAAGTGGAGAGTTCTGTAAATGTTAATTACATTTACTTGTTCCAGATCTGAGTTCAAGTCCTGGATATCGTTGTTAATTTTCTGTCTCATTGATCTGTCTAATATTAATGTTGAAGTCTCCCACTATTATTGTGTGGGAGTCTAAGTCTCTTTGTTAGTCTTGTATGTCTGGGTATTCCTGTATTGGGTGCGTATAGCGTATATATTTAGGACCTTTAACTCTTCTTGTTGTTGCATTGATTCTTTTATCATTATATAATGTCCTTCTTTGCTTCTTTTGATCTTTGTTGCTTTAAATACTATTTTATCAGAGGCAAAAATTATAACTTCTGCTTTTTATTTATTTATTTTTGCTCTCTGGTTAGTTGGTAAGTCTCTCTCCATCCTTTGTTTTGAGTCTTTGTGTATCCTTGAATGTGAGATGGGTCTGGATGCAGCATACAGTTTTTTTTTTTTTTTTTTTTTTTTTTTTTTTTTTGAGACGGAGTTTCGCTCTTGTTACCCAGGCTGGAGTGCAATGGCACGATCTCGGCTCACCGCAACCTCCGCCTCCTGGGTTCAGGCAATTCTCCTGCCTCAGCCTCCTGAGTAGCTGGGATTATAGGCACGCGCCACCATGCCCAGCTAATTTTTTGTATTTTTAGTAGAGACGGGGTTTCACCATGTTGACCAGGTTGGTCTCGATCTCTCGACCTTTTGATCCACCCGCCTCGGCCTCCCAAAGTGCTGGGATTACAGGCTTGAGCCACCGCGCCCGGCCTGCAGCATACAGTTTTAGTTTTTTGTCCAAATTGGCTGTCTTTCTTTGAATTGGGGAATTTAGTCAATTTAAATTTAGAATTAATAATGATATATGTGAGTTTAATACTGCCATTTAATATTAGCTGGCTATTTTGCCCATTAGTTGATGTAAATTCTTCATTATATTGATGTTCTTTACTTTTTGGTATTTTTTAGAAAGGCTGATACTGTTTGTTCCTTTCTATGTGTAGTGATTCTTTCAGAAGCTCTTGTAAAGCAGGCCTGGTGGTGATGAATTCTCTGAGTGCTTGCTTGTTCACAAAAAACTTTATTTTCCTTCACTTATGAAGCTTAGTTTGGCTGGATGTGAAATTCTTGGTTGAAAGTTCTTTTCTTTAAGGCTGTTGAATATTGGTCCCCACTCTCTTCTGGCTTGTAGGGTTTCTGCTGAGAGATCTGCTGTAAGTCTGATAGGCTTCCCTTTGTGGGTAACCTGACCTTTCTCTCTGGCTGCCCTTAGCATTTTCTCCTTCATTTCAACCCTGGTGAATCTGACGATTATGTGCCTTGGAGTTGCTCTTCTTGAGGAATATCTTTGTGGTGTTCTCTGTATTACCTGGAGTTGAATATTATCCTGCCTTACCAAGTTGGGAAAATTTTCCTAAATAATATCCTGAAGCATATTTTCCAGCTTGGATTCATTCTCTTCCTCACATTCAGGTACACCTATCAAGCGTAGATTAGGTCTTTTCACATAGTCCCATATTTCTTGGAGACTTTGCTCATTCCTTTTTTTCCTTTTTTCTCTAATCTTGTCTTCTAGTTTTATTTCATTAAGTTGGTCTTCGACCTCTGATATCCTTTCTTCTGCTTGATCAATTCGGCTGTTAAAACTTGTGCATACTTCATGTAGTTCTCGTATTGTGTTTTTCAGCTCCATCAATTCACTTATTTTCCTCTCTAAATTTTGTATTCTTGTTGACATTTCGTCAAACCTTTTTTCAAAGTTCTTAGTTTCTTTAGATTGTGTTAGAACAAGTTCTTTTAATTCACAGAAGTTTCTTATTATCCCCGTTTTGAAGCCTGCTTCTGTAATTGGAACACACTCGTTCTCCATCAAGCCTTGTTTCGTTGCTGATGAGAAACTGGGATCCCCTGCTGAGGCGTTCTGATCTTGGGTATTCTCAGCCTTTTTTGACTGTTTTCTTCCCTTCGTTGTAGATTTATCCATCTGTGGTCTTTATAATTACCGTCTTTGTAATTGGGTTTCTGAGTGGACTTCCAACTTATTGATTCTCAGCGCCGAAATCTGAGTAACCCACTGCACCGACTAAATCAGCGGCGTTAAGATTGATGGTGCTTTTCTGACTCTGTACCAAGAACCGACGCTCTGAGGCGCCGGCAAAACCGCCTCGCCGGTCACAAGAGTCGCGCTGGCGACCTGTGGGGCTCCTCCGCTGGGAATCTCCTGGTGCGTGAGCAACAAGAATTCATGTGAAGGTGTGGCGTCCTCTCGTTCTTTGCGTTTTCACTGGGAGCTACAATCCCGAGCTGCTAGTGATCAGCCATCTTGGATCTCTCTCAGCACTTCACTTTCAAGCTATCTTCTTTTATGCCTCTTTCTTCTACTTTATGAATTTCCATAAGAATGTGGAACACTGTTAAAACTCTATACATTTTTTCCTCCTAATCCAACCATTGACTTTATTTTTAGTATATATTGTCATATTCTTATCAGCTTACTGTCAATGCCTCTTTTACTCATCTCCAGTGGATCTCAAGGTTAAACTAAATGAAAAATAGGTTTTGTCTATTTTCAGAAGCTGAAAACCAATTCAAATTGTATTGGAACAATGGGATTCTTGAATTACTTGATGGTTTTCCATTGCTGTATCCATCTTAGTTGTTTTGTGGCTAGTGGCCAATTGAAACTACTATTGAGCACTTTGTGTCAGGCACTGACCTCGCAACTTTACTTGTTTACTTTATGCTTCAACAGCCCTGAGGCTGATACAATAAAACTTTATGCTAATGTGCTCTATAGTAACATGAATTTGGAAATGACACAATTGGTACCTGTCTTCAGGTATCTCTGTCTAGGCAAGTGGGTCCTTTGGTCTCCATTATTTGCCTGGCCCAGTTTCCCAGATTTCAGCTGCCAAAAAGGGGTCCGACTAAACCCAGAGACTCTTGGACTTGCTGCTTCTTGGCTTCAAGCCCCAGCCAGACATGGAACCCTAGATTGCTCACATGGATGTTTCCAGAGGGACAGTGGCCACCAGCTGGTACCATACTGTAGTACTCTATGCCTAGATGTCTTGACTGTCTATCATGCCTTGATAATTTTAATCCCCATCTCTTCCATACAAAACTATGTTATATGTAACTGACACTAAGAAGAGTAGACCTTCTGAAGGTGATTAATAGGTTATTTGATGGGATCATGTTGAATGCTAATTTAAAGAAATGTTTTTAATCCAAAAAGTAAGAGATTGTGATATTGAGGCATTGTGACCTATTTGAAATAAGCTTATGAACAATGGTAATTTATGGGTTATGTAATTTGGTTTGTACAGTGGTAAAGTGTTCTTATGAAATAAATTGAGTAGAAGAAGCTGCCTAGTTATAAAGGACGTGATTAAGAAATTATGTCAACTTAATTTTTATTTCTTGAGTCATGGTAGTTGTATATAGTTCCTTCACATCTGGCCAACCAGAGGAGCCTATCAATTTGTGGACATTAGACCTAGTTTTCTTCCTAAAATTCAGAGAACCTTGCATGTAAGGAGGCTCTTGTTACGTGTCGGTTGAATTCGTTGCAAACAGTGTTCTTCTTTTCGTTGTTGCATATTTTTTGTTGTACGAGTATTAGTCATTGACGCAGCCTATTAGGATGACACCGAATCCCAGTTTGCCTAGGAGAGTCCTGATTTGTGTCTGTTGTCATGGCTTAATTATTAATAGCTTAATAATTAGTAAATTCCATTATTAAGCTTAATTGTAATAAGTGAGGTATGATATTAAATTATAAGCCTACTTCTTGAATATTGATTAATGGAATGGTACTTTCTTCTTTCTTTTTTTTTTTCAGGTATTTTAACAGCAGTGATAACAATTTACAGTATTGGGGATTGGATTACCCACCTCTTACAGCTTATCATAGTCTCCTGTGTGCATATGTGTAAGTTTTTCTTTCTTAATGTAACTCTAAACTTTGATGCCCTTGGCAGATTTAGTAAGAAACAGTGTGATTGGGCTTTCTTGACTAGAGGAGAGATTGCTTGTAGCTGCTATTATATTTAAAAAATTTATTTTGAGACAGAGTCTTGCTCTGTTGCTCAGGCTGGAGTGCAGTGGCACGATCTTGGCTCACTGCAACCTCCACCTCCCAGGCTCAAGTGATTCTCCTGCTTCAGCCTCCTGAGTAGCTGGGACTACAGGAATCTACCACCACATCCAACTAATTTTGTATTTTTAGCAGAGACAGGGTTTCACCATGTGGGTCCGGCTGGTATCAAACTCCTGACCTTAAGTGATCTGCCCGCCTTGGCCTCCCAAAGTGCTGGGATTACAGGCATGAGCCAACGTGCCCAGCCACTGCTAATGTATTATTTATTACAAATGGGTTTTAAGAAATAACTATTGGGGCTGGGCGCAGTGGCTCACGCCTAGTAATCCCAGCACTTTGGGAGGCCGAGGCAGGTGGATCATGAGGTCAAGAGATGGAGACCATCCTGGTCAACATGGTGAAACCTCGTCTCTACTAAAAATACAAAAAATTAGCTGGGCATGGTGGCGCGTGCCTGTAATCCCAGCTACTCAGGAGGCTGAGGCAGGAGAATTGCCTGAGCCCAGGAGGCGGAGGTTGCGGTGAGTCGAGATCGCGCCATTGCACTCCAGCCTGGGTAACAAGAACGAAACTCTGTCTCAAAAAAAAAAAGGAAATAACTATTGGCTGGTCATGGTGGCTCACGCCTACAATCCCAGCACTTGGGATGCCGAGGCAGGTGGGTCACGAGGTCAGGAGTTGGAGACCAGCCTGACCAATATGGTGAAACCCTGTCTCTACTAAAATTACAACAATTAGCCGGGCATGTTGGTATGTGCCTGTAATCCCAGCTACTCAGGAGGCTGAGGCAGGAGAATCACTTGAACCCAGGAGGTGGTGGTTGCAGTGAGCCAAGATCACATCACTGACTCCAGCCTGGGCGACAGCAAGACTCCATCTGAAAAAAAAAAAGAAAAAATAATTATCAAAATTTGAACATTTCTATAACTTTTTTGGAAGACATTTAGCAAGAAATGCAAAAAACCTAGTTTTGTTTTGAAGTAGAGATGTTATCCGTATGTGTAGACTACTGAGAAATATATCTAATATGTGTTAGTGTGTATAAGAAAGCTTTTTTTCTGGAACAGCTCAAAGTAAATGAAAAATATAGATCAAAATGGTTACTGACTAATCTGTCAAGTTAGAAACTAGAATAATTGTAGTGTTTCATCTTTGACTTAAGATCAAAATTAGAATTCCTCCTCCTTTTAAAGAAACTGAATAGTTATAGAGATAACTTCTATTTTGGCAGAGACCCATTTCTACTCTGTAGTGGTATTCCATCTTAGATTTGAAGTGTGTCAGCAAAAATTTGAGGAACTTCTTCACATTATCTCATGAATTCATCTTCCTTGTTTAATTTCAACTTTACAGCCATGTGTCACTTCACAATGGGAATACATTCTGAGAAATGTATGTTAGGTTATTTCATCCTTATGCAAACATCATGGAGGGTTCTTTAGTAGGCAAAATGGTATTGCCTGCTATTTACCTAGGTTATATGTTATAGCCTATTGTTCTTCGGCTACAAACCTGTACAGCATGTCACTGTACTGAATACTGTAGGCAATTATAACACAATGGTATTTGTATATTTAAACATATAAAAACATAGAGTAAAAATATGGTAGTATAATCTTATGGGATCATTGTCCTACATGTGGTCCATTGTTGACTGAAATGTTGTTATGCAGTGTCGTTTTGAGTGTATTTCATATTTTGCAAAAATAAGCTTCTTGGATTGAAAATAAACGCCCAAACATCATCATTATAGTATTCAGGGTTATTCTAATATTATTTAAAATTTCATTTATCTTTAACAATCGTGTTTAGTTTTATGCAATGATTTATTATTATTAATAGCTATTTATTATAGCCAATTGTTATGATAACTAATTATAAATTGTAAACATGATCCTATTGGATCAACACTAGCATATTGCTTTTTACAAAGTATGTGTTTAGTAAGTGAAATGTGACATGCCAGATTGGTTTTACACTGGAAGTTCAACTGTGAAGATAGGGCTTGTAGTTAGACATAGTTTTCTTGGAAGATAGCAATGCAGATGCTGTTTTATAGCTTCAGTCCGTTTCACATGATTGAATAAAAAGAGTAAAGCTTAAGCATTGACTCTGTTGCCAGTTTTCAAATATTGATAAATTCATACATCCTCAAATATCCTTATTGCTAAAAATGATGAGGAATAAAGTACCTGTATATATGCTTTGATTTGCAGGGCGAAGTTTATAAATCCAGACTGGATTGCTCTCCATACATCACGTGGATATGAGAGTCAGGCACATAAGCTCTTCATGCGTTCAACAGGTAAAAGAGCAATAGGTATTGAATGTAAAGTTTGATTTTTAAAAAAATTTGGAGAAAATGGTAAAGGCACTATTATTGTTCTTACTGACTTTAAAATTGTGTAATTACACCTACACACACACACACACACACACATATATATATATATATACATGATCTAAGACCAAATGTATATCTAAGCTAAAACATGAAAGAAAGAGTAGAAAGGAATAATTCTGGGTGCTTTACATTTTTTTTAATCTTAGTTCTTTGAACACCCAAATGAGCTAAATAACTATTATTCTTATTTTAAGCTGAGGAAAATGAGGCACAGTTAAATGAAGCAAATAGCTTTACTTGAGGTCAGATAGCTATAAGTTGAAGCTTTAATTTTTTAGGCTACTGCTTTAATGTCCTAATTCTAAATCTATTTATTTTTTTCTTGATGCAAACCTTGCAGTTGTTATCTTATGCGCTATATTGTTGTGCAGTTTCTAAGTTAAATAATCCACTCCACAAATGTTCATTGAACATCTGTGTGTGCTGTTGTAGGAGCTTGAAAGTAATAAGCTTAGATTTCTTTAAAAGCTTTACATGACTTATGCTTTAATGCTAGCCCAGTCCTTTTCCTTAATTAGTCTAAATGTAGTTTTGTTCTCGTTACAGTTCATCCAGTCATGGAATCTTAGACCCAAGAGAAACCTGTTTTGTCTCCTTTCCCTCTCCCACACCACTCCCCTTCTCCCTCCAATGCTGTCATCCTTTCTGAACCACGTAGTCACCATGTGATTATTCAGCTGCTGGACCAATACCTATACTTGCAGGGAACTCACAACCTTTAGAGATAGCCTGTTCTATTTTCAGAGAGCTCCGATCATTAAAAATTACCTTCCTAAATTGAACTTCCACCAGTCATTACAGATTTCTGGTTTTTTTGGGTTACAGAGAACAAGTCTGATCCCTTATATCCCTAACATCCTACAGGAATTTGAAGTCACCTCTTCTCTAAGTTAAATGTTCCTATATACTTTAGCTATTCCTTAAATGACCAGTTTGTTGAATGTGATTATGGTTTTGAGGCCACTGTTTGACCACTCCTTTGCCCCACTCTGGGTATATTCCAGTTTGTCAGTTTCATCTTTAATGTGGCATCTGGAGGTGAACATATTGACAGGTTGCATGCATCTAACTTTGACAGTTTACTGTCACTTACATTTTTCTTGACACTGTACTTAGGTATAAGAAAAAAATAAGCTCTTTAGAAGTTATGTTATACATTTGAAGATCTTATATATTTATTTTTCTTTGTTCTAAAGGATTGCATGTTAAAAATTATGAATTGCTTTCCTTTTTTTAAATTTTTTTTTTTAAAGTTTTCTCTCACCTGTTTCTCAAGCAAAAGTTTGTATTTTTCAATAAGGACTAATATTTTAAAAAGCTTTTCTTACACATCACTGCATTTCAGTTATTCTTTATACTAGGAAATTTAGAGTATATAGATTGAGAAAAAATATTTCCTTGCTTTGAGTATTTTTAATTTTTAAGTCCAAGTCAGAGCAAAGAGAGAATGTTAGAAACATGTAATTGATTAAATGTGTGAATTTGTTAGAGAAAATTAAGAGAGGCCTTTGCAGTACAGCAATTGAAATTAGGCACAGGTGAAGGGATTGAAAAGGGCTGAATGTGCAAAGGACCTGTCCATAGTGGGACAAGAACCTTGTGTTAATGAATTCTCAGTCAATGTTGGAGGAAGGGAGGCAGTTAATGGGTAGTTGTAAATCCTGATGGACTCATGTTTAAAGTCATTTACTTGTGTTTTCAGTTTTAATTGCTGATCTGCTGATTTACATACCTGCAGTGGTTTTGTACTGCTGTTGTTTAAAAGAAATCTCAACTAAGAAAAAGGTAGGTTTTAAAGCAGCCTGCCAGTTCATCTCTGAAATGTATTCTTTATTAGTCTAACTATTAAGTATAGACCTTAGGGAAGCCATCCTTTTGGAAATAGAGTAATTAGGAATATTATATCTTCTGTCAATTAATTTTCACTTCAAAAACATCAACTTACAGTAATTATTTTAATATACTACTAATATACACTGAATTTTGGAAGTTATGTACTGTTGAACTACATGCCCTGCTGAATTTGTTACTGAACTTGTAAAGCTGAATTTTGAGCTGGCTTGTGAGAGTGACCAAACTGAAAGACATTTTGAAAAGTTGTATATGCTCAATTCATAGTTATCAAACATTATTTTTGGTTATTTTAGATAGGTTAACATTAGATTGACTTCTCTAATTTGTATATATGAAAGGACTTCCTCTGACAAAACCTTTTAGTGATTTTTTTTCCTTTTTATGGAAGTGTCCCACGTCACCTTCATGAAAACTTCATTGTCTAAAGAGTTGTATAAAAATTGAATATTTTATAAAAAGAAAGTATAACACCTCTGGAAAAGGGGAACATTTGCTCTTATGTTAGATGAAAACCACACTTTTACCCTGCTTGATTTGTGTAACAGATTATTTTCTTATTTCACAATATTTTTCTTTACAGATCGCTAATGCATTATGTATCTTGCTGTATCCAGGCCTTATTCTTATAGACTATGGACATTTCCAGTATCCTTTACTAATGTAGAAATGAAGTCAGTTGCATGTTAGGAAATCTAGGCTCAATGTGTACAATTACTAGAGCTTGTTTAAACCAAAACAAGTCAGTTGCCGTTTAGCAGTGGACTTAATATATTTGAGGCTATTACACATGATTTCATGTTTGTTTGTCACTTCTGTACTTTGAATTTCTATTTGGAAATAGCTTTCATTGTATGTTATTTTAAAATCACATAAGCGATATGTTCTATTAAATGCAAGCTTTGTCTTTTTAAATTTATTGAGATAATTTCCTTGACCCAGGAACATATATAATTCTGTGAGTCTTGGCTTTGCTTTGTGGGGTGTCCTTGGAGTATCTTGTGACTGGGACCTGCTAGGGTCACTGGCATTTTGTTTAGCTATAAATTATAAACAGATGGAACTTTACCACTCCTTGCCATTTTTTTGCTTTTTACTTGGCAAGTGTTTTAAAAAAGGCCTCAAAGGAAAAGGGTGAGTGACTTTTAAACAACAGAATCCAAAAATGTACTTCAGATAACTTTTTTGGCATATGTACTTGGAGGAAGGTGACCTTTCACTTTGCCTTTTGGTGATTTCTTATATTTTGGCTATAGGGTATGTGGGAAGAGAGGGATTAAGTCATGTTCTATATTTTCTTTTAAATTTTCCTAACTAAAGAAATATTTCAGTTCATATACATTTACTGATAATGTGGATTGGCTAGTTAGAACTTTGCTGTAGGATTTTATCACTTTAGAGTTTACTACATTATATACTTATTAGATATACATCCCCATTTGATATTTTTCTTCATAAATGCATTTCCTTATTTCTATAGGAATGGCATCTAACATAAATGTTAATTAGGATGGTGATAACAGTCTTTTTGCTGAAGTACACATATTAGCTATTGTAAATTTTTTTACCTCTGATTTGAGCAGACTCCCATTTTAAACCTATATTGGTAACATAGATTTAGCATTACTATACATTTGCATGTATTATGTTCAATGAGACTCAGATTGATTTTGCAGAATTATTAACCTTTCCCTATCTTACTGACTACCTTTGTTTTCATTCTAGGTTTGTATTGCTAGTTAAGCTAGCTTGTACTGTTGTGGCTTCCTTCATTCTCTGCTGGCTGCCATTCTTTACAGAAAGGGAACAAACCCTGCAGGTTCTAAGAAGACTCTTCCCAGTTGATCGTGGATTATTTGAGGCACGTTTAAAAACTTTCCTTTTTTTTCTGTTACTTTACCTTCCCTGTGACCTTTAGGGGTTTCATGTAGAAGACACAAGGAAAAGGAACTTCAGCCACTTTCCTCCTGTAATCATTTCTTGCCAGTTATTGCTTGATTGATTAATTGACTGATGAGACAGGATCTTGCTATGCTGCCTAGGCTGGAGCACAGTGGCTATTCGTAGGTGTAATCATGGTGCACTACAGTCTTGAACTTCTGGGCTCAAGTGATTCTCCTGCCTCTTCCTCCCAGGTAGCTGGGACAACAGGGTATGTGCACCTTGCCAGTTATTTAATCCCTTATATACTGTAACTCCTAGCTGAGCTGGCATTTTTTAGTACATTACATCAATAGGTAATAATTATGCCATCATCAGATCCATAATTCAGTTATATATTTTTGTAATGAAATAGGGTCCATAATGAAAGACAGCATGAGAAGTTTCAGCTGCCATTTTAACAGCTGTGTAATTTTTTTGGTTTATATTCTGTTTTTAGTCTTAGGAAATTATTTGTAAAACTAATAATCATGTTTGCTTCAGAAAGATGTCATAATTCCTTATGAGATATATAACCTTCATCCATAGTAATTTTTAATTAGAATCTTTCATTTCACTTAATGCTAGTTTAATCACTCTTGTTAAACTTTTATTACATGAATAATTTGGTCATTTAGATTTGGTAATTAAATTAAACAAACCATTTTTCTGAAACAAAAAGGCCTTTTAATAAAGTTAGACAGAAACAACATATTTATAGATAATTTGCTTTTGGATAACATTTCTTTTAAAAAGAATTTTAAAGGCATTATATCTTCCTAAGTTTTGAATATATAAATTTCTATAGAATATCTTTCAATGGACTTATAGGAAGATGGAACCAGCATTTTGAAAGAGACTAAGATAGGAGTTTGGTATTGTGAAGGAACAGAAATGTATGACTGTATGTCAACAGGATGATGGTAGTGATGATAATAAATAATCACCATGGTTATAACCACCACTTACTAGGTGCCAGACACTTCCATGTAATTTTATTTGATCCTTACAGTAGCTTTCTGGTAGCTATTATCCCCACTTTACAGATTAAAAAACTGAGGTCAAAGATTCCTGTAACTAGTATGTAGCAGAGCTGATTTGAATTTTGAAAATTGTTTTCCTAACCTCTTCTTTGTATAACCTCTAACACTTACATAAGGAAAAGTTTAACTCTCTCTGTAAGCTGCCTATTTGTCTTACCTTCCATTTCAGAAATGGCATTTATCATGATAATTATAAAAATGAGTATCAGATATGTTTGATGGTTTTGCCAGTCTCTTTAATTTACTTGTTGCTTTCAAAATCTGAAGAGCATTTTCTTTGATCCAGCAGAGGAAAGTGGGATGGTATAGCTGTCAGTGATAGTTACTTTTTTGATGTTAAGTCTGCACAGCTGTAAGTCAAGCAGCTGTGTAGAGAATGGGTTTCACCAGCATGAGAGCTGTAATTGCAAACTTAATTTTGAAAGTGATCCTAACACAACTGCTAATGTCTTTAGACTTTTTGATTTATTAGCAATTAGCTCTTGTCATTGCTAGTAGCTAGCAGGTTACTCTGTTACTCTAACTTCAGGTGTGTGATAAAAATGAGTCAACTGTAGTATGCATTCTATAAATGATGGAAAAAACATTTCTTAGAAAAAATTTCAAAGATGAATAACTTCAGTATTCAGGGATAGTACACTGCTCTTTGAAAACTATTAAGTATTTGGGACTGTCTGGATTATGGTGGGTCAAAACTTTTGATCACCTCCCTTGCACAAAAATGAAAAATGCTTGAGACAATGTGTACATATATGTTTATTCCTCGCGGATTTAATCTATTTAGTTATAATTGTGACTAAAAATTTCACGTCTCAAAAAATTTATTAGTGATTACAGGCTGTACTTCATGGGTTTTAATGTTTCTTTCAATTATACCAGAATGTAATGCTAACAAATCTCTTTTAAGGATAAAGTCGCCAATATTTGGTGCAGCTTCAGTGTCCTTCTGAAGATTAAGGATATTTTACCACGTCACATCCAATTAATAATGAGGTAAGAGAATCAAAGTTTGTATGTAGTATTTTATAAGTTACTCTCTAAAAGCGTTATGGTATTATTTCATTTATTTGGCATCATTAGGGAATGAGGTATTTTTCTTTTTTTTTTGAAACGGGGTCTGGCTCTGTCACCTAGGCTGGAGTGTAGTGGCGCAATCTTGGCTCACTGCAACCTCCGCCTCCTGGGTTCAAGTGATTCTCAGCCTCCTGAGTAGCTGGGATTACCTGCCACCATGCCCAGCTAATTTTTGCATTTTAGTAGAGACGAGATTTCACTATGTTGGTCAGGCTGGTCTTGAACTGACCTCAGGTGATCTGCCCAGATTCAGCCTCCCAGAGTACTGCGATTATAGGCATGAGCCACCGCATCCAGCCAAGGTGTTTTTCTTTAGAAGATTTTCCACATAACTTAGACCTATTGCTCTATATAATAAAACTCTTCTATTCGAATTATTGTATGTGGAAGTTTTTCTGAATTGTTACCTTGTTCTCTCCTTGAACATAAAGTACATTAAATATGATTGGTATTATGTTGAAGAGTCATGATATTCAGTGTGTATCAGTCAGGATCAATCAAAGAAGTAGGAGCAGGGGATCACTGTAGTGTGTGTGTGTGAATAAATGACAAGGAATTGGCTTATATAGTTGTAGGGGCTAGCTAAGCAAAACAAAGTCACAAGGCAGGCAGTCTGGAGGGAATATCTAGGGGAATATCTAGGAAGAGCAATTCAGACCCAGATGCTGTTAGGGAAGTCCTCAGCGGTCTTTTAAAGGGCTTTGATCTGATTAAGTTAGGCGCCTCAGGGCAAGCTCCCTTTTGATTAATTTAAAATCAGCTCAGTAGGGGTTTTACATCTGCAAAATTCTTTCACAGTAGATTAGTGTTCAAATAACTGGGAGATGAGATGGGTGTGGCCTCTCTCTGTCCTCCAGATCTTATGAGAATTTCCCTTGTAGCCCACCCTAAAAAGCGTACAAGAAGGAAATTCTAGGGACATTCCTTCAGCCTAGCCAAGTTGACAAGTTGAAAGCTGTAAGTGGGAAAATCAATTATTGTATTAGGTTATATACTTGTTTTTAGGCCTTTCAAGGGCTATGTCCCATAGCACTAAATGGTTCCAGGCCACTTTGCTTGTTGAGTCTGTCTGCTTTTTTTAGTTCTTTTTCCTCCCCACCCATTAGCCATCATTAGGCAGGAGAAGCTCTAGTAGCTTCCTGCTCCCTTTCCATCTTGTTCTTTATGATTTACCATGGGCCTGAAAATCAGATAATCAACTTTGTGAAATGAGAGCCAGAGAGACTTTTGTGAGTAAAGTTTGTGAATGTTTGTGTTGCAGATATAGCATTCTCTTATAATTCATTATGTTTTTTTATTTTGAATGTTCAACAATTGACCTTCAACTATGTATCTTTGTATATTTTCTATACATTAAGTATGAAAATAAAAGAAGCAATATTTAGTATTATGAAGTTTGGTCTTTAAAATATTTAGTGTCATGTATAAAAGTATATATCTCAATGTATAGATTTTTTTTTCAATATGTAGATTTTATTTAAATGTTATTTGGTCTTTAAATTTAATAAATAAAAATAAACTATAACTTGAAGTCAACTTAAGTTGATAAATACTACGATCTTTAGATTTAAGAAATATTTTCTTATTTAAGCTAGATTTATACCTCTACAAATAAAACAAATATTTGATTTTTATTATTTTTTTAAGCTTCTGTTTTACATTTTTGAGCCTGCTTCCTGCATGCATAAAATTAACACTTCAGCCCTCTTCCAAAGGATTCAAATTTACACTGGTAAGTTTTCCATTACTGTAGACACTTAATTCTTGCCACAACTGAACTTTTAACAATTATTTTCTTGCTCTGAACAGGGTTTACTGGGTTGGGAAATAAGACATTTATTTATTTGACAGACATTTATTGAATGTTCCCCATACTTAGATTCTGTGTTAGACACTAAGCTAAGCAATCAGAATAATCTTTCAGTTAATTCAATTATTTAATTTCTTTTCTATTAGTTAATGAGGGAATACAAAGCAGAAAACAGTGGCAAAGAACATATGTAGCTTAAATAGTTATGTGATAAAACAGATGGTATTAAGTTCTATCAGGTACAAATGGAGTCCTATGATGGTGTGGGAAAGGGAGATACTATCTCAGGGGGAGACTTCAGAATGCTGTTTAGGGCAAGTGGGATTTGAGCCCAAATTTGAAAATGGGGTAAGATTAGAACAGTAGGTTATATAGCAGAAGAGAAGTTCAAAACAGGAGGAAGAAGTTGAAGTTCCAGAGGTGGGAAAGGATGCAGGATATTCTATTAAACAATATAATTTCGGTGACCTTTGTGTGTGTGTGTTGAGAGTAGGAGAGGATATGGTGAGAGATAAGGGTAAAAATGGACCAAATTACTGAAGACCTTGAATGCCTTGGTTGAAAAGGTTTGGGGTTTGATTTATGCGCAAGAGAAACTAAAATGTATTTTTGAGAAGGGGAGGGGACAGGTGTCTGTTTTAGGAGGATGACTTGTATCACTTTGAAGATGGGCTGGGTGCATTTTCTATAGTTTAGGGTTTTTTCTGAGTAGGTTTACAAAGTCTTCTTGGTTGTATTTCTGTGGCATTTAAAATTTTGTTCCTGTTTGCCATGGTTTGTAAAATGACATTTAAAACATACATTAAACTATCAAGAACATTTAGTGTATGAAAACAGTAAGTCCTAGTGGACTTATGTGAGGCAACATTTAGAAATTAGGGTTCCAAATCTGGGACTGTCAGTTAAGTACATTGCATAAAAACAAGCCAGAAAAGTACATAACAGTGAAATACTTCAAAAGTGCATCTCATACCATATGCAGAAAGGATAGTTTCATGTTCCTTTTTACTTTTTAATTATCTTTTTATTGCTGATTTCTGTTGTTTGATTCTGTGAATGAACTCTGAGCATACCAAGTCATCTGTGGTTAATATTCTATCGGATAGTTAGAACACGATGGATGTGGTATAATGCTCTGATGTCTTCAGTAGGCTTAACCTGAAATTTATTTCAAGCTTATGATAGAATTGCTGTTTTTCTAGAAAATAGAATGCTAAATAAATGCACATTTCAAAGATAATGGGCTGGGCATGGTTGCTCATACCTGTAATCCCAGCGCTTTGGGAGTCCAAGGTGGGTGGATCATGAGGTTAGGAGATTGAGACCATTCTGGCCAACATGGGGAAACCCAGTCTCTACTAAAAATACAAAAATTAGCTAGGCCTGATGGCATATGCCTATATTCTCAGCTACTCGGGAGGTTGAGGCAGAAGAATCGCTTGAACCCAGGAGATGGAGGTTGCAGTGAGCTGAGATTATGCTACTGCACTCCAGTCTGGTGACAGAGCAAGACTCCATCTGAAGGAAAAAAAAAAAGGAATAGAATTTTAGAGTTTGAGTAACTTTAGCAGTGTTACAGATGATAACTTTTAGGATTATAAGACAGAAAAATAATTTCTTTTTCTTTATTTTCTAATTTTTGTCTGTTTGGTATGTTTTAACAGAAGCCATTGTGTTAAAACTTTTTAAATGTAAGATTTTTGTTATTTTGTTTTTGTTGATCATGCTTCGAATTCTTACTGTATACTTCTGAGAGTTTTAAGAACATTTCCCATTATAATTATTTTAAAAGTATTTTTCTTTCAATCAAGTTTGCCTGAATTATATCTCAATACATATCTATTATTGAGGTAATTGATAGCATGAATACTGGTGTGTATATATAGCAGGAGTATTACCAGTTAGGAGATTATTGCACTACTACAAAGATGGCTGGTGGCTTAGACCACTCCTCTGCCACCCTTAGCAGAGGGGAATGGAGAGAAGTGGATGGATATTGTATTTAGGAGGTGCTATAGCTATTATTTCCTGATGGATAAGATGTACAGCATGGATAAGATTTGAAGTTTCTGCTTGAGCAACTGGATAGTTACCCATATCTAATTTGCAGAATGTAAACTTCTGAAAATAATTTTTTATTTAAAACTCCAAATAGCATGTGATGAATTTATTTATTTATTTATTTATTTTTGAGACGGAGTTTAGCTCTTGTTACCCAGGCTGGAGTGCAATGGCGTGATCTCCGCTCACTGCAACCTCCGCCTCCTGGGTTCAGGCAATTCTCCTGCCTCAGCCTCCTGAGTAGCTGGGATTACAGTTACGCCCCACCATGCCCAGCTAATTTTTTGTATTTTTAATAGAGACGGGGTTTCACCATGTTGACCAGGATGGTCTCGATCTCTTGACCTTGTGATCTGCCCGCCTTGGCCTCCCAAAGTGCTGGGATTACAGGCCTGAGCCACCGCGCCCGGCCCGAATGTGATGAATTTATAAAACATTAATACATTTTAATGAAGTGCATATTTCAAAACACCGAAATAAATTTGTTTTGCCAGTTTTAGATTCTGACCTTCTTGTCTTTCATGCTTTTAAATTTAAATTGTCAGAGATTCCAAGGGAGGATGAATGTATGATTGTTGTGTCTGAGGTATTTAGTAGTTTTGTTTATTAATAACTAAGTATAATGAACTTATATTGGATGGTTAAAGCTTTATAATCATTTTTTGAAAAAAATATTTCAGTTTTTAAATTTGATTAACATATGCATATCAGTGTTGTGATGGTATTTTACTTCTAAAGAGAAGCTTTAATAAACTTTCAGTTTTCAGTTGAAATGATTTTTATTTAGATTTGTAATTAACTTGATATGCTATTTTGCAAGTTGTTATATCTCATTTTTCCCCTTTTTTCTTAAAGGTTAGCTGTGCACTATCATTCTTTTTATTTTCTTTCCAAGTACATGAAAAATCCATTCTCTTGGTATCATTGTAAGTAGAAACGTTTGAAGTATGTGTTTATAATACAACTTTATAATTTACATACAAATATTTTAATGCGAAACAAAACTACCCAAATGTTATATCTTTGCATAAAATTATTTCATAGTCATGTTTTTTCCAGAAGTTCTGATTTTATTTCTTTATAAAATGTATTTTAAACTGAAAAAAATTGATAGAATATTATTGACACAGTTTTAATTTCTTCCTGTTTTTTCATTTATATTTTCTACATGCTACAGTTTGCATTAACAGTTCCTTTTGACCTGGTCCCAGCTAATCATATCATTAAACAAATATTTCATTCAATAAATATTTATTGAGTGCCTACTATTTGTCAGGCACTGTTCCGTGCACTTGGGATATATTCCAGACAAAAGTCCCTGCCTTCTTAGCTATCATTCTTAAGGATAGATGCTAATAAAAAAATAAAAACAAAAAATTAGTATGTTGGAAGGATATATAAAAAATACATCCTCCAAGGAGGTTTTGATCTGGTTGGAGCGTGTTTGTCACTTCCCTTTTTTTTTATTTCATTCATTTCCACATCTATTCAGTAGCCTTCTTCTTTCCGTTAACTTCCACAGGGTCGTTTGTATGTTGCCTCCCTTCTCTTTTTTGCCACAAGCTTAGGTTAGACCCTATTGGCAATCTGTAACCAGACTACTTTGTTTTAGAAGCATTCAATTTTTTTCCTGGTCTTCATAGAAAGCAGTGGGTGACAGCTGGGAGTATAATATCCTCATGTTAAAATATTATTTGCATAGAACCCTTTGGGATACTGAAATCCTCTTCTAGGTCAATCCCAACCCACTACTGCTCTACCCCTCACCTTGTATTCACTAGGTTCCTGTGAAAGATACATGTACAGAATGACCAGTGACAAATGGCAGGCAGTATTGCTTTTATTAGTGGAACTTTGGACTAAAAGCTTAGTGCAGAGCTGGGCTGACCAGTGTGGAAGGCTTCTTGGCTCTAAATAAAACAGTCTTGTATCATTGTAGACTGGGAAGACTGCTTAATGCCATCCCTTGAGGCCCAAACCTGAGTTAGAGCTTACCACTATTATATGAGGCTATGCTAGGCTGACCCTACATAAATCACTGGTACCAGGGGATGGAACTGTGAAAAGGCATTACTTTCAAACATGTATTAATAGATTTCCCCAGAATTTCTACACACAGAAAAGCAGCTCATTCAGGACCTGTTATCGGACCAGATTAGTTCTCAGACACTGAACTTCTCAGGTTCATTTTCTACAAATGCACCTAGATTATTTGTAACAGTGCGTGGCTTTAATCTATTTTTGGTAAATGATATTACATTTGCATTAAAAGTTCCTTTTGACCTGGTCCCAGCTAATCCTATCATTAAACAAATATTTCATTCAGTAAATATTTATTGAGTGCCTACTACTATTTATCCAGCACTGTTTTGTACACTTGGGATATATTCCAGACAAAAATCCCAAAATCCCTACCTTCCCTGCCTTCTTAGCTATCATTCTTTTTTTTTTTTTTTTTTTTTTTTGAGACGGAGTTTCACTCTTGTTACCCAGGTTGGAGTGTAATGGCGCGATCTCAGCTCACCGCAACCTCTGCCTCCTGGGTTCAGGCAATTCTCCTGCCCCAGCCTCCCCAGTAGCTGGGATTACAGGCACGCGCCACCATGCCCAGCTAATTTTTGTATTTTTGGTAGAGATGGGGTTTCACCATGTTGACCAGGATGGTCTCGATCTCTTGACCTTGTGATCCACCCGCCTCGGCTTCCCAAAGTGCTGGAATTACAGGTGTGAGCCACTGCACCCGGCCCAGCTATCATTCTTAAGGATAGACACTAATAAAATAATAAAACCAAGAAATTAGTGTGTTGGAAGGTAATAAATATCATGATGGAGAAATAAAACAGAGCAAGAGTAATTGGGAGTACTGGAGAATGGGATACAGTTAGAGGTTGCAGTTTTAAACACAGATGTCAAGGTAGGCCTCATTGTAGAGATGAGGAGGGCAGGAATTCAGGTGTGTGGATATCTGGGAGAATAACATTCAGGCAGGGGGACAGCCAGTGCCAAGGCCCTAAGACGGTACAGTCAGTATGTGTAGAAAACAACAAACTGGCCAATGTGGTCAGAGTGGAGTGATCAAAGCAGGGAGTAACAGGAGATGAAGTCAAAGAATTAATGGGTCCAAATCATGTAGGACCTTGTAGGCGATATTAAGAACTTTGATTTTTATTCTGAAGGGAATAGAGAGCTATGAGAGGGTTTTGAGTGAGTAAGAAATGTAATCTGACTTGATGTTTTAAACGGATCACTCTTGCCATGAGTCAAGTATAGATTGTATGGAGCCAGGGTAGAAAACATGGAGACTACTTAGAAAGCTGTTGCTGTAATCCAGGTGAGAGATGGTGGAGACTGGGATCAAGATAGTAATAGTGGAAGAGGTGAGAAGCAGTCACATTGTGGATATAGTGTATAGATGTAGCATATGAGGGAAAGAAAAAAATCAAAGGCATGTCCACGGTTTTTGGCTTGGAACTAGAAGGATGGAATAGCTGCTGACTGGGATGAGAAGTGGAACAGGATTAGGCTAGGACTGGACAGGGTAAAACATTCCCAAGTGCTGGACAGGCTTTTGGACATCCAAGCAGAGATCTAGATTTCAGCATTTGGATAGGAGACTGGAGTGGATGTATGAGTAGAGTTCCAGAGAGGTTGAGCTGGACATGAAAGTTTAGGAATTTGTCAGTAGAAATGATATTTAAAGTTAAGAGAGTGGATCTGATCACCAAGGAAGTGAGTATAGACAGAAGAGGACCAAGGACTGAGACCTGAGTGCCCCAGTGTTAAGAGGTCTGGAAGAAGAGGTAAATAGGAATGGCTGATGAGGTAAGATTAAAACCATGAGAGTTAGCATCCTGGATGCTAAGTCAAGAAGGTGTTTTAGAAATGCTTCTCAAAACCACAATGAGATACCATCTCACACCAGTTAGAATAGTGATTATTAAAAAGTCAGGAAACAACAGATGCTGGAGAGGATGTGGAGAAATAGGAATGCTTTTACACTGTTGATGGGAGTGTAAATTAGTTCAACCATTGTGGAAAACAGTGTGGTAATTCCCAAAAATCTAGAAGTAGAAATACCATTTCAACCAGCAGTCCCATTACTGGGTATATACCCAAAGGATTATAAATAATTCTATTTTAAAGACACATACACATGTATGTTTATTGCAGCACTGTTCACAATAGCAAAGATTTGGAACCAAACTCAGTGCCCATCAATGGCACATATACACCATGGAATACTATACAGCCATAATAAAGGATGTGTTCATGTCCTTTGCAGGGACATGGATGAATCTGAAAACCATCATTCTCAGTAAACTAGCACAGAAACAGAAAACCAAACACCACATGTTCTTACTCATAAGTGGGACTTGAACAGCAAGGACACATGGACACAGGGAGGGGAACATCACATGCTGGGGCCTATGGGGGACTAGGGGAGGGAGAGCATTAGGAGAAGAAATACCTAATGTAAATGATGGATTGATGGGTGTAGCAAACCACCATAACATGTGTATACCTATGTAACAAACCTGTACATTCTGTACATGTATCTCAGAACTTAAAGTATAATAATAAAAAAGAAGATGTTTTAAGGAAACGAGGTGATCAGTTGCATCAGATGTTGCTAACAGGCCAAGTAAGATGAGAGCTGAGAACATATTTGCCTTAGCAATATGAAAGTCACTGGTGACTCTGTTAGGGTCAGTGTTGGTGGAGCGATGCAGAGAGAAGCCTGATTAGGTAGGGTTAAGAAAAAATGAGAGAAGAACTAAAGACAAGTAGGGATAATTTTTATGTTTTTATTTTTTTTGAGACAGGGTCTTATTCTGTCACCCATGCTAGAGTACAGTGGCATGATCTTGGCTCACTACAGCCTCCGCCTCCTGGGTTCAAGTGATTCTCCTACCTCAACCTTCTGAGAAGCTGGGGTAACAGGCAGCACTACTATGCCCAACTAATTTTTGTATTTTTTGGTAGAGATAGCATTTCACCATGTTGGCCAGGCTGGTCTTGAACTTCTGACCTCAAATGATCCCCCACCTCAGACTCCAAAACTGCTGGGATTACAGGTGTAAGCCACTGTGAAGAAAGTTTTAAAATTATTTTTTAAATTGTGGTAAAGTACACATAGCCAAAATTTTACATTGTGAATTAGTACATTCATACTGTTCTGGCAGCATCACCACTATCTACTTCCAGAACATCTTCATTACCGCAAAAGGAAATCCCATACCCAAAGCAGTCACTCTCCATTTTCCCTTCCCCCTGTCCCTCTAACTACTAATCTGCTTTTGGCAAATCTCTGTAGATTTGTCTGTTCTGGGATGACCAAATAGGAACAGCTCTGGAGTGTAGTTCCCAGCAAGAACCATGCAGAGGGTAAGTGATCACCAGCATCTCCAAATGAGTTATTACTGCCCACAGACCAGGAGATTCCCAGGCTGAAAAGTGGCATGAGTTTCCAGCATGGGGTTTCAGCCAGTGTAGTGGGTCTCTGCACAAAAACTCACACAAATGCAGGCAGCCATTTCAACTGGCACCTGGAACAGTCTGGGAGACAGAGCTGCCCATTCAACTATCTGGCTCAGTGGGTCCCACCCCCACAAAGACCAGCAATCTGAAATGCTCTGGATTGAGAGTTTCACAGCAAGCACAGCTGTACCCGGGACAGTCCAGCTCTGTGGAGGGAAAGGCATCTGCCATTACTGAGGCAGTCCACCACTACAGAGGCAGTCTGCCACTACCAAGGCAGTCTGCCATTACCGAGGCAGTCTGCCATTACCGAGGCAGACCACCATTACTGAGGCAGCTGTAACTATAACTCTATAAGTAAAAACACAAGGAAGTTCACACAGCAGCTGGGCAGCGCCCATGGAAGCTCAGCAATGCCTCTGCTGGCAGACTGTGATTAGGCTACCTC